TCTAGACCCCTCCTTCTCCCCTCCCCAAACCAGACCAAGCAAGAGCAACCATGGCTCCGATTGGCGTGGGCAGCACCCTCCCCGACGGCCAGCTCGCGTGGTTCGACGAGAACGACCAGATGCAGCAGGTCTCCATCCACTCGTTGGCCGCCGGCAAGAAGGTCATCCTCTTCGGCGTCCCCGGTGCCTTCACCCCCACCTGCAGGTATCTTCCTTCACCAGTACAATCAGTCAACAGATCGAGAAAAACGAAGTGAGCGTTTGTTTGACCTCTTGTAATCGATGGATAGAGACGCTGAATTGTTAGCGGATGGATCCAAGATTGACTTTTCCTTCTCGCTTATAGCTTCTGCGAAACCAGGCCCTGTAAATCTAGATTTGCTTAGGAGCCAGGATCCCCTGTTCCTCCGGAATTGATTTACTTTGTACCGTAATAGCTGCAAGATTTGGCTTAACTGCCAGCTTTTCCTTGTCAAATTTCACATGTAGATGAGAATTTGTGAACCTGGACGCATCTAGCTAAGCTTCCATAGATTGATCTTTCTGTGAGCGAGTGCTCTAAACCGGCTGATTTGACGGGATTTTTGGTAGAGCTTGGTCTAGTACTCTAGTAGATTGATTTTGTTTCACTGTTTCAATTTATAGTTTAAGTAAGTTTGAGATATCTGAGTGGTTACTTCACTAATCACTACCCTGTGGCCAAATCGTTTTTTTTTCTTGTATTAGGTCGTTATCTGCTCCTGCCGCAAGAATATTTTGCTTATTTTTTTCTTTCAGAAAACGGGATTCTGTTGCTCCTTTTATCCTGTTTTGTTGACTTTACTTTTTCATATTGTAGAAAGAAAAACGTAAATGAATGAGATCCGGACGTCGGGACGTCAGATTTTTTACCATGGCAAATTGAATGTTTTTTATGGCAATTTTAGTTGACGCGAGGTTGGCAAGTTTAGTTGGCAAGCACAGCAATTTCTGGCAAAAAACAAACTACAGGCGGATTTGCCATGCTTACCAACTAAACTTGCCATGGTCAAATCCTGAACATTCGGGACTTATTAGCGTCCAAGAAAAAACACTCATACTGTGTCTTCTCTCTTCTATGAATATAGCAATCAGCATGTACCAGGCTTCATTACTCAGGCCGAGGAGCTCAAAGCCAAGGGTGTAGATGAGATCCTGCTTGTCAGCGGTATGCTTTCTGCATTTTTTGTGTGTTCATTATCATGTTCTGAAAGCAGATATTGCTGTAATTTTTGCCGACAAATACCTTTTTACCTGAACATGGATGGCCACATGAAAGTATATATTAGACGTTTTGAGTTCTTAGTGTTCTCCGTATAATAGTAAGGTAGCTCCCTAGTACAATTGAATGACCGGTTCATATTTAGTGAATGTGTGAACGCCGAAAGGGCCTGTAGCCTAGTTGTTGCAATTGCAATGACCTTAGTATACGAATGGACAGTTGGACACACTATTCTCAGCGTTTGATCTTGATTTAAAGCAGCTAGGTCCATAATTGCACTTGATTAATTCACTATGCTATTATTTTGCAGTTAATGACCCCTTTGTCATGAAAGCATGGGCGAAGACATACCCAGATAACAAGCATGTGAAGTTCCTTGCTGATGGAGCGGCTGCATACACAAAAGCACTTGGTCTTGAGCTTGATCTTACGGAGAAAGGATTGGGTCTTCGTTCGAGGCGGTTTGCTCTCCTTGCTGACGACCTCAAGGTCACCGTCGCAAACGTCGAGGAAGGTGGCCAGTTCACAATCTCTGGTGCCGAGGAGATCCTCAAGGCACTGTAGGGGCTTCAGCGCTTCGGAATCGCAGCGATCACCCAAACCTTGTGTCATATCGATGTAGTTTGAACTTGTCTGCCAAACTGCTAGTGGGAATAAATTGTCGATGTGCATTTCTTCATGTACTTTATGTGCGGTGCAAGTGACTTAAGAGTTTTCCAGTCATTGTTGGTTGCGTTGCAAACATTCTGAGATTGTTGAAGGAAAATGGTGTGGGTGGTATTTGTGTGAATCGTCATTACCTTGTGAAATCAACAGGCAAGTGTTTTTTTCATGGTGATTGTCTTAACTGGTATGTTATGCAGACTAGAAGAACACCCGTGGGTTGCAACGGTGCCACATTAACTTTAAGAGTTCAATATCAATTATGTTAATATTACATTTAATATTCTCATACATATCAAGTGACATTGACGACCTTTTTACCATCAAATTCTCACACACACTCTCTCCCTCCCTCCTCCTCACTCTCTCTCCCCCTCTCCCTCTCTCTCTTTCTCTCTCTAACACACACATATCCATCTTATTGGATACGGGACCATAATCCATCTATTTCACACGCACACGCGCTAGTGCATAACAATATGGATTATAAAACAGGTTCAAGGTAGTAACAAGGATTCTTCTCATGCATTAATAAACAAATGTTCTGCACTGAAGACAAGATAACCAATTCCCAAAGTGCATCAGAGCATCACAGAACATTACTGGCAAGATAAATGCACGACGATACACCCGACTCATTTAATTAATATAATTAAATTATCAGTAAATTAGTCACCAAACTGCTCGGATGAACTGGAAAAGAGCCAACATATATCATCCTAGACAAACGCAACATCAACCATTTACCTTGGTACTTTAGGGACCGACAGGAGGATGCATGTAGAAGCGCTTCTTGCCTGCGAATCCACAGCGAGAGAGAGAAATTGGAACCCATTCCCATCACCAACTGATAAAGAAAGCATGTAAGAAAATTGATATCGGGCCAACTTGGATCTTCGGTGATTGTCCGCCGGTATGGAGAATTTAGGAGGGTGGGTGCAGGGAGTGGCCTTGTGGATGATGGATGGAGGCGCGGAGGGATGTGGTCACCGGAAGGTCGAAAGCGGAGAGGGTCGGGCACGTTAGGTGGAGCCGGTGGTGCGCGACAACCGGAGGCGGCCCAATCGTGGGCGGCGAACCGACGATAGCCTCGGCCCATCTCTCGACGCAGCGAAGATAGAGAGGGCGGCACTTCCGGTGCTCGAGGCCGCCGCTCGGCACCATCTACATCGAGGGGAAAGAGAGGCGAGAAAGCGATAGGGTGATGCGGGGCTAGGGATTGCGGAGGAGGGTTGGGGTGTGCGATTTGAATGGATGGTTCTGCCCACCTTTTTCTTGTACGTGGCGGTGGAGACGGCGGCGTCCAGCCATGCAGGCGAGCCATGGGTCGAGCCGGGCACACGGCGAGGCGCAGTAGCAGAGGCCGGGGCGATTTTTTGCTACTGAGATGCAGGGTGTGGGATTGATCGTTCATGTTCTCTTTTCCTTTTTAACGGAAGATGGATGCGATTTTTTCACAAGGGGAGAGATGCGACCACGTACAGATTCCATAATAAATTAATTAGGTCCATAACGGGATTTCTTTACAATGCGTTAAGATTTACGTGTTAGTTTTCTTAATAAAGAAATGCACTGATGTAGGGATCGATTGATTCGGGTAAGGAAAGATAGATTCGTGATCTTTTGTATGTTAGGAAATTAGTGGTTTGCAAGGAAAGAGTGGAGAGAAAAAGAATCAATGCGACCACGTATAGATTCCATAATAAATTAATTAGGTCCATAACGGGATTTGTTTGCAATGCGTTAAGATTTACGTGTTAGTTTTCTTAATAAAGAAATGCACTGATGTAGGGCGCGATTGGTTCGGGTAAGGAAAGATAGATTCGTGATCTTTTGTATGTTAGGAAATTATTGGTTTGCAAGGAAAGAGTGGAGAGAAAAAGAACCAGTACGAGGGGGTGGTGGGAGGTGGGACGAATAAAAACCGGACGAAATTGGGAGGTGGGAGGAGGCGAGTAAAAACCGACGAAAAAAACCAACGAAATTGGGAGGTGGGAGGGAGGATGAAAAATACCAGGGGAGGTGGGAGGAGGACAAAAATAAACCGCACGAGGCTACCAACTGCTCCATTAGGAGTAGAGATTGTTTGTGAAAATAACATGCGACGACGACTTAGCGAGCGAATCCCCTTAAAAAAGACATAGCGAGCAGATTCCCTTAAAACTGGTAGAAATGGATACGATTGATGACGTTGATAAATAGTGGTAAATGTTGGCATAATTTACTATCATCATGCATGGAAACGAATCATCAAGAAAAAGAATACTTCCTATTACTACACTCATAGGAAGCTTCCTAATCTCTGCTACCAAACAGTTTCTGCCCAAACAAGGAAGGAAAGTTATGAACGTGATTCGAAAGGAAACAAACGTTATGAAGATTAATTAATTTAGATTTGATCTTTAGAGATTGATTCTTTTACATAAAGACATTACTAAATAATTTGCGTCAGTATGGAAAGTTCTGATCCGTTCAGTTTTTTTCGTTGTGTGAGAGGGTGAAGTGAAAATAAACTGATGAAGTGGGGGAGGCGACGAAAAAAATCTACGACGGTTAACCTACGAAAAAAAACCGGACGAAAATGGTGGGACGAAAATTGACCGGCGAAGACTACCAACTGCTCCATTAGGAGTAGAGATTGGTTGGTTCGATTTTTTTTGCGTGGAGGGAACTACCTGGAAGGTGGGAGGGAGTACGAAAATAAACCGTCTCGGCTGAGCGGGAGGTGGGAGCAAGTACCAAAGAAGTACCAAAAAAGACCGGGTGAGGTGGGACAAAAATAAAATCCGAAACGCGACCTACCAACTGAGACATTAGGAGTAGAGATTCCTGTTTATGTGTTTTTGTGTTATTTAGATTTTGCTGCTTAAGCAACAAGCATACTATTGATGCTTTAGGGCGACAAAAGATGCTATGCTAATTTCATTGCAGCTCAGCTGAGACGAGAAGGAAATATACATCACTTCTTTCCCAATCTCACTTACTTTGAGCTATTTTACAGGCGCCTCTCTTCACCAGATGGCTCCCTGTCGAAGCAACGCAAACTGCCCGTCTCACCTACGAGAAAAGCTTCTTGATCCACAACCAACTGCCCGTCTCACCTATGAGAAAAGCTTCTTGATCCAGCGAGAGAAAAGCTTCTTGATCCACAACCAACTGCCCGTCTCACCTATGAGAAAAGCTTCTTGATCCAGCACCAACACCGCACACGTTCATCTCGACCTTGTCTACGTGCATAGATTTCCTCCTGCTGATACGGGGGATCTTCTTCAGCTTGCCACCGCGGGAATCCAGGCTCCTGTCCTCGAGCTCTTGCCAGCAAAATGAATCGCTGGCCTTGGCCGAAGTGGCCTCCGTGGCATCGACAACGAGAGACTCAGTGATGTCGTCCTCTAATCTAGGCCGCCGCCTCGATTTCGAGCGCCTCGGATCCTGAGCGACGGTGTCGGCATAGAGGACGTCCTCGATCCGTGACAGAACCGCAAACGCCAAGCTCTCGAGAGCCCTGGAGTAGCTTTCCAAGATGGCAAACCCAACATCCTGAAAGAAAAGAGCACATTGAATAGGAAACGAGTACTGCAGCACGCAGCTAAAAATTAGCACTGCAGCACGTCGGAAAGCAACTGAAACATTGTTGCTTCTCTATGTACTAAGTGGTACCTTGTTGTATTGGATCTTGCTTATGTCAAGCGATGACTGGGCAGATCCAGGGAACTTGTGCTTGAGGATGAGCAGGACGGTCTGTGCGCGCTCCTCGAATTGCTCGCGCTTCTCCAAGCTGACGCCGGGGCCCCATGACAGCTTGTTGCAGAGTTTCCTCTGCCAGATGACAACGGAGGCCTCGATTCTGTCCTTGAGATCGACGATCTTGTGTTCCGTCGATAGGTCTACGGAGTCCAGGAGTCCGTTTGGGTCAAAATAATCATCGGTTATGGTTCTGTATATGGAGTCTCCGAGACTTTCCCTCCCATTCTGCAAGAGAAGCAGCCACTCTGTTTGATTAGCCTTAGAATTTCTTTCTATCTAAAGAACTATACTGCTACATTAATACTCCCTCCGATCCAAAAGAAAGTGTCGTGGATCTAGTTCAGCTTTATTTCAAATTTGAACTAAAGCCACACTACTTTTTTGGATTGGAGGGAGTACTACATTTCGGGAAAATATATTGGATCTATTAGAATTAGGTGAACCTTGGGTAGAGCCTCGATGTATTCTTCTGGAATCTCCATCTGTGCAAGGACATTTGCATTGATGGCCATGGCTGCCTTGAGCACTTGCCCGACAAGGTCCTTCTGGTGCTGGAGCCACTTCCTCGATTGGTCGGACAGACCCTCGGGAGGGACTCTCACCGTTGGGATCCACCATTTCTCGCCGTCTCTCGGTGCATCGCCCTTCTCGCTCTCGTTGGCGTTTTTTGACACGTACCAGTACTCTTGTTCGTCCTTGAAGTTGTCAAGATACCCCTGTTCCAGATACACAAAACATCAACTTTGACTCGGGAAATTGTTGAGAAGGATCGCGGAATGAAGATCCTAAGAATTTGCGTACGAGGAGCATCGCGTCAAGTTTTCGCAAGGCGGGGATGTTCATGAGAATGTCCCTGCGTAGCTGGGTGCCCATCACCTGCATGCGTGTGATAAAAGTTGCAATATATGTGATGAGTGCTAGAAAAAGCCTATTGGTGTTAGTGGTGTGAGGCAGTGAGAGTGACCTCCATGCTGGTGCCATCCTCGGACACCTGTTGCAATGGAACGAATTCGACGATGTGATCGGTGACCGACAGAAGCCAGCCGATCTCCTTCTTCCATCGCGCTTTTCGGTCGGCCGACATGGGCTCTAGGCGGCGCTGCTCCCCGAACACGGAGGCTGCAAATCGGTTGCCAAATTTCATCATGAAGAAGAAGAAGGGAGGGAGGAATAGAAGAATGTTGCATGTACACTCGTTAACTTTACCTGCAAGGTTTGTGATGGAATTGGAGAGAGCAAGGGCGGAGGAGACACCTTTCCCGGTGCCGGACATGTCCTCCCCGAGCAACAGCTTGGCGAATCTCTCTTTCACCAAATCCATTTCTGCATCCCAATACGGCAGCCACGTCAAAACCTATGCATGCGATTACGAACAAACTGTCACCGTCAGCGCCCAGCACATGGAGACCATCGAACCTGAAGGCGGTCCGGCGTCCCGGACGACGTTCTTCGGCGGGAGTTGCCGACCCGGCGCGGCCCTGGACCCGTGGCTCCTCGACAGCACTCGCTTCTGCATCGGCGGCAGTGGCGCGACGACGGCCTCCGCCTCCTCGTCCATGCTCCGCCTGCCGCTGGTGCTGCACTGCGAGGACAACGACGACGACCGCAGCAACCGGGAGGAGGACGAAAAGGATGACGAGAGGGACGGGCTGGGCGTCATGACTCGGCAACTCGGTAGGAATCTGTCGAGGCTCTGTTCAGGGTGTGGCGAGATCGAGTCACGCAGGTATGAGGGAAGCTAGGCCGCTCGACTGGTGCACGGACGTTTGTGTTCGACCGGGGGTTTGGTTTTTGAGGAGGACGCCGGCCGCTTCGCCGGCGTGCATGCGGGGGAAGGCCTTGGAAGGATTGTGTTGCAACCTTGTGTGTGGCCTCTCCCCCGACGTACGACCGACTCAGGCGTGTGCGCGCGAGTGTGGCTGGCTGGCTGCCTTCTCGCATCGCGGTGGGGGGCGTGGTTTTGTTGGGGAGCAAAAGCCAAAGATGGCATGACACTGATGCGCCATTGTTTGGCCAGACCAAATATAAGCAACATACTATTTTTCCTCCCTTAGATGTAGGCAGTGTGCATGCCTTCTTTTGCCTTGATTGTTTTCTTTCTTTTTTTCTTCTTTTTCTAAAAAAAGGGAGGTTGAAACTGTTAGATCTAAAGTGTGATTACACTAATCATGAACATGATCTAACCATGTCTACAACACTGCTGACATAAACAGAGAGGGTTTAGTGGTGCAATATGAGTCATGGAGGTTGCTTTATTTATAAAGCGGGGCGAAAGACTTTTTCGGTACGAGTCATGGAGGTCGACATGATCGCCTGCTCGTTGCAGGCAAGGTTGAGCGCCCGTGTGTTTGACATAGTCAATCTCCTGGACGTTCTAATCACCATAGGCCGCCGCCGGCACTGTCTAGGAACGACAGCATGTAGGCTAGATTTTCCCGCCAATGCACCGCCCCCTTGGATCAGATATGGTTTTTGAGAATGTGGGGCCGTACTTGAATTGAGAATAGTGCAGGTGGTTAGCTCTCTTCCTTTATTAATTATCGTTGGTGACAGGGGACCTAAACCATTATTTGGTTTGGGTGCCCCTGACCAGGCGCATCAGTTAGGGTGGAGAGACACGTACTCCCTCCGTTTTCTTTTTAGCCTGCATATAAGATTTGGTCAAAGTTAAACTTTGTTAACTTGACTAAGTTTATAAAAAATATATTAAGATTCATAATATGAAATCAATATTGTTAGATGCATCATGAAATTAATTTTCATACCATATAGCTTTCGTATTGTAGATCTTGGTATTTTTCATGTAAAGTTGGTCAAACTTTACAAAGTTTTCTTCGAGAAAATGCAAAGGGCTTTTGCATTTCATTGCATTGAAAAGGTAGAGTTTTGGTACATTCCTCCTAGGAGGTCAATTACAAATGGGGATCAGTAAAACTAGTGCACGTCCCAGGTGGGCGGCAGAATGAAGCGTAGGCCGTGGGCGCCCGCTCTTGCCCACTGTGCGGCTTCCTCTTTGATCTTTGAGACCATGACCTGAACCAGGGGTTGGGCGCTCTCGAAGATGCATTCGTTGCGCTATTTCTAGATCATCCATGGTGTCAACAGAGCAATGGAGGCTAGGCCCTTACGCATCAGTGTTGGCGTGTTTTGCCTTGCCTGCAGCCACCAGTCCATAAGTGAGTCTTCGTGGCTTGGCCCTGCAGTGGTCATCCGTAGCCAGGATAGGATTTCATGCCAAGTCTGCCTAGCGAAGGGGCACTCCAAGAGGAGGTGGCACATCGTCTCGGGAGCCTGGTCACAAAGTGGACATCGTGGCTGGTGCTGGAGACCGCGTCTAGCCAAGCGGTCGGCCGTCCAACACCGGTCCTGGTTAGCCAACCAGTGGAAAAACTTCACTCTTGGCGGCGCCAAATTCTTCCATGAGAAGCAAGTCATGGATCCCTGGAAGGTGGCAAGATAGCAGGAGCTAGCAGAGTATATACTAGAGACCGTCCATCTCCAAACTAGCTGATCAGGGGTGTCCGAGAGCGTGATATGCTCGATCGCCAGCCAGACTTGAAGGTACTGGCCAATCTCGTGTATGCCCAGGGTCCCGTGAATGTCCCTGGCCCAGCTATGGCCTTGCAGTCCTTTAGCGACGGTCCGGATTTTGTGCCGGTGTTTTGATATGCACATGTAGAGTGCCGGGGCGATCTCAAAAATGGACTGTCCATTTATCCAGTGGTCTTCCTAGAAATATGTCGGTGTGTCGTTTCTGAGGGTCATTGTTGTGGATGCGAAGAAGAGCGCTCACTCCTCGGCAGAGAATTGTAGGTCCAGGCCATTCTAGGCGCGCTCATGGTCAGTGCGCGAGAACCATAGCCATCGTAGCCGCAGAGCAAGGCCAGCGCGCTCCAGGTCCTGGACTCCCAGGCCTCCGTGCGATATGGGGCGGCAAACGCGGCGCCAGTTGACATGGCAGTGGCCTCCGTTGGCGGCAGCGTGGCTAGCCCGCAAGAAGCCGTGCTCAATCTTCTCAATTTGACGAAGTGTCTTCTTTGGCGGCGCGTAGGCGAGTAGTTGATGCAAAGGGATGGCAGGCAGCACGGACTTCACCAGCGCAAGCCGGCCAGGTTTGTTCATCAGGTTGGCCTTCCAAGTGGGGAGCCGACTGGCAATCCCATCAACTAAGGGTTGCAATTGGGCGGCAATCGGTCGGCCTACCGTGAGGGGGATCCTGAGGTAGGTGATCGGCAAGTCGACGATGGGGCAGCCTAGGTGCGCAAGTGCTGCTATCGCCTCACCCATGTCACAGTGCAGCAGTGAGGCGGAGCTCTTGGCATGGTTCACCATCAGGCCGAAAGCACGGCCGAAGAGCGTCAGGACCTCACGCACGGCGATGATGTTGTTGGGCGAGCAGTGGCAGAATAGTACCACGACATCCGCATACAGCGACACAGTGGGAATGGAACGCCTCGGGTGCAGCCGCGCCATGACTCCCGTGTCAATAGCGCGCTTGATGAGCCTGCTCAGGATGTCGACAGCGAGCACAAAAAGTTGTGGTGACACAGGATCACCCTGCCGGAGCCCCTTGCGGTGCCAGATAGGTGGCCCTGGATCACCGTTCATCAGTATATGTGTGCTTGCCGAAGATAGGAGGATGGCGATCCACTCCATAAATCTATTTCCGAAGCCATATTAGCGCAGGGTCTCCATGAGGAAGGGCCAAGCCAGGGAGTCGAAGGCCCATGCAAGGTCCAGGTTGAGCAAGACTCGTGGGGCACCCAACTGGTGGAGAAGCCGGGCCGATTGCTTGACTAGGATGAAGTTGTCGTGGAGGCTCCTGTCGGCGATGAACGCATTTTGGCTCCGGCTCATAAGGCTGTCCAGCTTCGGGGCTAGTCGTAGGGACAACACTTTGGCGAAGATCTTTGCCACTAGGTGAATAAGGCTTATAGGCCGATAGTCATTCAACGTGGCCGCGTCCGTGCATTTCGGCAGCATGGCCACGATTAACTTTACAAAGTTTGACTTTGACCAAATCTTATATGCAGATTAAAAAAACGGAGGGAATACATTGGTGTTGGCCCCTCCCCTGTAACGTTATTTTTTTGACTTGTTTAATCTGTTAGATCAAACCAACATACTACCCCTTGATCGTTAGGCTTAACTGCATTCGCCCATTCCACATTGAAATGATATATCAAAGTGAAATTTTCTTTAGGGTTGCCCCCCCCTCTGGTTTAGGCGTTATACAGACTCTACATGTTTCTTGTATTTCGCCTCTTTTTATTTTTGTTTTTTGTGAGAGGACCTTGTTTGGCTGTGTGCATCTTAGGTATGTAGAGGCCGAGTGTAATGCTTAAACCTTTTAAGTAATAAAGCGTCCCTTATCGAAAATCAAAGTGAAGTGTTACAACAACTCACAAAAGCACCATAGAATCTCAACACTTATATATAGAATAGAAATATATTATGAACCAATGCAATTCATAACAACTTTATTGTTGCCTCTAGGGCATATTTCCTAGGTGGTGATGCCGATGGTGATGTTGGTGTGCATGATTGGATTGTGGTTTGATGATGGCTTATGATGCGCCATGTGCTGATTTTTTTGAAATGAACTTGTTGAATTCGGTGCCTTTTGGCTAAATGTGTTTTATGTTAGTTATTTGTTGGATTGGATGAAGTATGTTGATGTTCGTAGTTCAATTATGATGTGGTGCATTTGCATTGTTTAATTTTTTGTTGAAATGTGATGCATTTGTTTGGAATGTTTGTGCAAACGTTTGAAAGAAATAGTAAAAGATTTTTTTAGAGGATTTAGTTTTGAGGGAATGACCAGGTGCACAACAGTTTAATCTTTCAA